AATTTATAGCTTCTTCTAGTGTAGAGAAAATATGTATGTCATGTGTAGTTTTATCTGCTAAATCATTGCCCAAACTAAGGGCTCCAGGCAATCCTGTATGTGCCCTGATATGTCCTATAAAGAATGGATCTTTTCTGTCCCAGATTAGACTTTGTATAGTGGAAAGCAAAGAGAAAACAGTAGAAGAAGGGGAAATCCTACCAGCATCTTCAAGAGATACTATAGCATTAACTACATACTGACTATCAGAAAATAAATTAAATACAGAATCTTTAAACATCACAAAAGCTTGTAAAACTGCATTAAGCTCTACCTTTTGAGCTCATTGTTTGGGTACTAAAAATGTAAAAGTTTGATCAGGGGTAACTACTGCTGCTGTACCATTATTTGACCCATCAGTGAATATATTTGGAGCATTCATGATAGGTGTTTTTCTTGTCATTTTTGGAAAAATTACAGGATGCAATGACCAAAAAGACAATAAAGGATTAGATGGTAAGTGGTTATCAAATGAAACATTAGATTTACACATGATTATTGCCCAAGTATTTAACTCATTAGCTAACTCATCAATTTGATTCATAGTATATGGAGTAATAATTTTATTGGGAGAAATTCCAAACACTCCCTTTGCTGCTTTTATTCTTTTGAGTATTAATTGTCCTACAGCCTCAGGATACCTAGTAAGAATAGTGTTAGGAGAATAAGATAAATGTATCCATAATAATGGAACTTCTTGCCAAAATACTCCTGTAGGAATATTTTTTGTTGGTAGTACAATAAATAATAAAGGCAAACTTATATCAATTCTATCCAAATGCATATTTTCCATATATGTTTCAATGATTTTTAATGCCTTTCTTGCTTCAGGCATTAACATTTGGGGTGAATTTGGATCTGATGGACCTTGTAGGATATCAAATAAAGGTCCCAACTCTCCTGTTGGTATACCTAAATAAGGCCTTATCCAATTTATGTCTCCTAATAACTTTTGAAAGTCATTAAGTGATTTGAGTTGATCTACTCATATTTGAATTTTTGGTGGACGGACCATGGTTGAGGATAATAGAACTCCTAAATAATTAATTGGAAAATTTAATTGTACTTTATCTATTGCTATCTCTAGATTATATTTTTTTAATAAGTTTGTAAGTGTGGCATAACATTCTAGCAATGTGTTTTTATCTTTGTGTGCTAATAATACATCATCCATATAGTGAAATATTTGTAGTTCAGGATTTTGATTTCTAAGTGGCTGGATTACTTTGTTAACATAAATTTGACACATACTTGGGCTGTTAGCCATCCCTTGAGGGAGTACTTTCCATTCATATATCTGATCAGGACCTTCATGATTCAGTGCAGGGATAGTAAATGCAAAACGTGGACTATCCTCAGGATGAATTGGAATTGAAAAAAAACAATCTTTAATATCTATAACTAAAACATACCAGGTTTTTGGCAAAGCAGACAACTGAGGAATCCCTGATTGAGCAGGTCCCATAATAACCATCTCATTATTAATGGCTCTTAAATCTTGCAGTAATCTCCATTTACCAGATTTCTTTTTGATGACAAAAATGGGAGTATTATGGGGAGATACAGAAGGTTGTATATGTCCTTCTGCTAATTGTTGTTTGACCAGGTCATGGGCTGCTTGTATCTTTTCTTTAGTCAGGGGCCACTGAGGAACCCATACTGGTCTTTCTGATTTCCAAGTAATTTTTATTGTCTCAGTGGCCCTTTCTGAAAATCCAACCCACCTGCAAATAGTGGCTTAATTATTTAAGTAAGAATAAATGAGAAAATAATAACATCACAAAATAGCTACCATTCATCATATACTAGCTCATTTAGTATCTAACACTTCCCTATGAAGCAGGTAACTTCAAGGACTGTTAGCAGTGAGGATGCAGAGGTTTACAAGGCTAAGCTTTGCCACATGTACAGGTCACAGCACTGCAGGCAGAGGCCACTCAACATGTGTCTGCTTGGCTTTCTCATCTTCAAACAGGGATTACAAAACTTGCTTTATAATTATTCCTCAAGCATGTTTTCTTTATAAAAATAAATAAAATAATAAACAATTGATAAGAAATGGAAAGTCATATAAAGTAAAAAATTTTGATATAAGTGCTCACATAAACAAACACTAGGAATAAGACTCTTTATAAAACATTCTCAAACACACACTGAGCTTAGTTCCTCCTCTCAGCGACCTGAGATTCTACTGTCCACCACAGACATGAAGAAGCACATGGGATTCAGCTCCTATAAATTTTTGAATCTGCAGTAGATGGCCAAGTACAAGCAAGGCACCCAGGTCTCCATAAATCTGCAAAGGCCACACCAACTGCACCCTGCAGGATGGATGCAGCCTTTCACTCAATTTACTTCTTGCGGTGGGGCTTCATTTTTTTTCACTGTTTCTTCAGTGTATTCATCCAATACACTCACATGATATCCTATTACCCAAAAAGTCCTGCAAAACAAAAGCAAGCATGAGCTATAGGTGTCTTCCCTGGGCCCAGACCACCCAATCTAATGGCTGTGAAGGAGATAGTTTTCCAACCTCAAAACACAGCATAAGTCAGTTGTTTTAAAGCTAAACAAAACTTTTTTTTTATTTTTAATTTTTTACTTTTGAATAAAATGTAAGACCCTTAATAATGAAATTGCACAAAAAAGAATAACTGGAAAGTTTAGTCTCCCCCCCCCCCCCCGGGTCTTTCTGTTTAGTGCCTTTTCCTTCTAAAGAGGCACTGACTGCTGCTGGCTTTTGTACATTGTTGAACCCTAATGCAAAGAAAAGACTTACAACTTCATTTTAAAATCAAATTAAAGAAAGCTTCTATTTGTTACACAAAGAGAGCTGATCATCAGTTGTCTCTCCCAACATGGGCTAGAGATTAGCACCCCAGGCTTAAGGAAAGATGTTTTATAGCACAAAATGTTGCAAAGCAGGGTGTCTTGAAAACTTACAGCTAACAGGATTTTGACAAGCATAATACAAAAGCAGATAGTAAGTTATTGAACTACATGGCTCACCATTTCAAGTTAGGAAATAAATTCCGACCCTGACATCAGAATTTATGAGGCACCACTAAATTTTCATAGAGGGTTGTTACATGGTAGGAAAAGCCAGGAATGGGTGAATTCAAGGCAAGGGCAACCATTCCAAGCAAGTTTAAAATATCAAAATATGGCCACACTAAATACAAAATCTAGTAATTACATAAAACAGAAATATACTTTTTGTAGCTTTTGAAGATATGGCTTCTGATCTTAAGAGGAAATTAGGATGGGTTTATCAACATCTGCCTAGGGCCTGCACATACTAAAGAAAAACGTGTGTGTGTTTGTGTGTGTGTGTATGCATGCGCACATGTGTGCTATTGGTTGTGTGCCTTTCCCGCAAACAGAAGTATTCAAGAGTTATTTCTCTATAACTTCCTCTTTTGTTTTGATAATACAACCTTAAGATTATTATCCTTTCACATAAAGCTGGTTTGTTTTTTAACCTCCTGACATATTTCATAAGATGGAAATGTCAAAATGCTTTTCTTTCCTCTGGAAGATATTTTTAATAAACAACTAAGCAGAATTGTAACACAATTTTAAATATTTGGAAATTATGTTTCAAAAGAGATACAAAATGTTTGTAGTTCAATTATATATTCATACAGTTAAAGTCACATATCTAATCTTACACTAATATATAAGATTATTCCATGATTAAAAGTAGCCCAAGTCTAATAACCATAAGCTATATTAGTAGATCTCTTTTCCTCTTATCTCAATATGATTTCCAATACTGAATACCTTACCAAGTGGAATCTAAAAAATAAACCTAAAAAAATTGTTAAAAAATGACTAAACCTTTGCAAATTAAATGGTTCAATTTACAAAAAATTCTGGGAAAATAAAGAGCTAAAACACTAATATTAAAATTACCATTTTTTGCATATGAATATTCTACAATGTGTTCATGATTCTGTTACTAATAAACTCTCTTAAGGAATTTTGCAAGAGTTGACCTACTGGGTAAATGTTCTTGAGACCAAATGGTAATTGATCTCCCTAATATGTGGCTTACATAATGTTATTCAAACTAAATGTACTTTCATATTTATATTTCATCAAAAAATCTCTTCTGCCAGAGAGAATACAAATCTGTAGTGAAAGCATTTTAAGTTGCTTTCTACTACTTACCAAGTCCTGCCCAGTTTCTATTTTTTCTCAAGATTTTCTATCTCAAACACACACATGATCAGAACTCCTATCTTTTCAGGAAACAAAGTGAGTTATTTCATTTACGCAAAAGAAAGTTTTAAACAAATATTTCCAGTATGAGACCATTTTTATATTTTTATAGTTTCATTCCATCTTCCAATTGATTAAAGACAAACCAGCAATCCTCTCTCATTATTAAATATCACACAGGACAAACCCTAGCTAAGAGAGTATCTTATTTTTGTTGAGTTTCAACAATTAGAGTCAGGTTACTCTCAAAAGTGGTTAACTATTAAAATTACTTTTCCAAATGTGAAATCATTTTTTGCCTTAGGGAAAGAAAAACAGTAGGCACAAGTGGTGGACAGGGTACATAAAGCTGTGAATTTAGTACATGACTTATAATTTTTCACAAACATAGTGGTTATTTTCTTATATATTTTACTAAGCCTATATAATAAAAGACAGTGCTAAAACTATATATAAAAGCAAATTTGAGAAAACATTCATTTTCAAATCTCATAAATATATGCAGTTCTAATTATAAAGTCTCTACAATACATTTGCATATTTTCATAGACTAACATAATACACAAACTCATGGAAGTCTCTTGCTATGCAGTTAATTTTGCCTAGATCTGCCATTATCTTCATAAATATTCAATGAAGCTAGAAACAAAGATAATGTAACATTTGGAATCTATCCAATCTTCAAAGGAAAAAAAATGATCAGCAGAAATTCCATAAAACATAAGGGAAACCAATCCTTATTTTCTTTTGCTCTTTGTGTAAGTTGTTTGAAAAACACTGAAAGCAGACATGAGGTTTTCTATATATTGTCCAAGAACTTGGTTTTCTGATTTTAGCTTGAGATTTTCTTCTTTAACTGCAATAACTCTTACAGAGAGATCTTCAAGATCTTCAAGGCAAATATTAAATAACTTTGATGAGAAAGAGTATGTTTTAAAATTAGAGCTATAAAAATTCTGTAAGGTGCTCTAAGAGGGGACAAGAAATGGTGGGAAAATTCCTACCAAAGAATTTACATAAGTGGAAACAGTGTAAGCAGGGAAGAGGCATTTTGAACATTAGGCAGAGAACTTTCTAATGAAGGGAAAGAGAATAGACAAGGCAACAAAAAGTAAGTGAACTCACTGGAGGAGATAAAGGGGGATGGAAGACAGGGAACTAGGGAGGATAAGGCACAGAGATAGAACACCCTGCTGCTCCTGTGACAATATGGGATTTAAGAGCAATGAGAAGCCGCTGAAGAGCTTTCCGCAACCTGTGTGTGGGGGCACACATATGCATGTGTAAATGTGCAATTCCATGTGCAGAATGTACAGAGAGTGTGGGAGGACCAGTTAGGAGACTGTGGGTTGTCTAGTTACAGGTGGTGACAGCCTACATTGGGGTAGTGGGGAGAGGGTGACAGATTGGAGCTATACTTGGAGGGACTAATGATGGGCTAGACACAGGGTTAAGACAAAAGTAGGTGTCCAGAATGACTCAGGGTTCCTGGCTGGGCAGCCCGATTAGTGGCCCATGAGCTCAGTTGATGAAAGCCTTCAGGTGATGCTGCTTCATCATGCACTGAGGAACATGTCACCTGCAGGCTGGAGAGCACACTTCCTCCCCTCAAAGCAGGTGTCTGTGTTAAGGATCAACACTGGGGCACTTTGAGCAACTCTGTGGTAATTAAATCATGGCATGATGAGAACACCTGCAGAGTGAGCTCAAGAAGAATAAAGGGCCTAGGATTAAACATAAAGATTCACAATATTTAGGACTGGGAAGATTGCTGCCAGCAAAAGACCAAAAATAATAAAGTACAGAAGAGGCAGCAGAGGAGGACCACATTCTCCTATAGACAGCAATGATGACATGCTCTTACCTTCTGTCTCTCCCCCTCTGCATTGCTCTTCTCCACTGTCCTATGTCCCTCATCCCCCCCCATGCACATAAATGTACCAATGTCCTTCAAATGGCACTCAAGGAAAAATACTTAGCCAGGAGAAAATCACTGACATCTATCTATGTGTTAACTTCCCAAGAAAGTATTCTACAAAAGTATGTTATGTGTTGGTCAAACACCATTATAATACCAATTGCTGAACCATGACTTATTTATTCAGAAATTAAGATCTGGAATTTGAACAATATTGTATTAACTGAATATGACACAAGATACTAGAACTTGAGCCAGGTGGTCCACTTAGGGACACCTGGCTGAACACTCTAGTGACCTGTGCAGTTCCCAAGGAGATGTCAGGACTTCATGGTGTTCTACAATATGCAAATGACAATTTGGGTCTAAAGTAAGTCATCTGCTAATGATTTACATGGGAGAAAGGCACAGAAAGAGTACCACATTATATTTACATTGAATCGCCCCTTAATCTAAAAGGAGGGTTTGTCAATTCTCAGGATTCAATGAAAAAAAGTTATTAGTCCCTCTGAGCTATGCTATAAAGCCAGCAGGCAGAAACCCGGATGGTGCTTGCTCTGCTGTAAATAGATGGTGCTAAAGGCTTCAACATAATGCTGTCACTGAGCCCCCACTACATGACAGGAAATAGATACACTATTATCACCAATGAACAAGGAGAACAAAGTGTAGGATCAGTGAAGCTGAGTTACTTTAGGAAGATCACCTTGGTGGAGCAAGTCTTTGACCCTAGGCCACCCAGTGATAGAGACTGTACTCTCATTTACTCTGGTGGGACCCTTGCCAACTCAGTACATGAATAATAGAAAAACAGAAAACCCCCTATTTCATCTGGACAATGGAAGTTAACACAGTGTAAATTTGAGAAAAGGAGGGGCTTTACCCCTCTAATTTGATTTTTAAAGAAACTAGTAAAATCATTTCATCACAAAACCATATAAATAAACACTATGTACCTATAAAGAATATCTGCAAAAAATGCTAAGAATTATCTCATTACATGATGGTGTTAGCGTTCAGTATAGGGAAAGACACCACGGTTTATGCAGATAATGATTAATCAAACCATCCACTAGTACCTGTCAGCAATGAGAGTGCATTATTCACACTGGGCAGGGCTAAGCACACTACACGCAAATATGGCATCTACACTCCAGGGTTTGATCATTGCATCTTAGCTGCTGATCACTACAATTACAGGGATGAAGCTCCAATTTAACAAAGTTACGTTGTAAACAACGGAGAAATTGTGAGCTGCCAAGAATTATTAAGCATAATGGACAAACCTCTATGACCCAAGGAAAGATAAGACATGCTAAATACAAAAGCCCAGTGTTGAGACACAGTGAACTCCTAATACATGCAAATCTGTCACATGTCATCTTTAGTAGAATCACATAAGTTACTTGATTGGTGTGTATTCCTCCTTCTTTTCAGTTACTAGTACAAACTGGGGACACCTCTCTTCCCAGCTACTCAGAGGCTGAAGCAAGAAGATCACAATTTCAAAACCAACTTTAAAGAGAATTTGTCTCAAAAAATTTAAAGGGTTGAGGGAGTAGCTCAATTGCAGAATGCCTCTGGGCAAAACCCCCAGAACCCAAAACAAAACAAAACAAATACAAACAAACTACTAGAACAGAGACACAGTCTGTGCCTAGTTTGTTTATTTCTCAAATTCTAGAGTCTGAAACAGTGTTTAAGTTTTATGTTCTGGGTCCTTGGTAAAATGGATTCAGTGAAAATAACTCCTTATCCTTAGCAAAACAGAAAATAAAAGAACAAACAAAAATGTACATGGTAAATTAAACTATTTGAACAAAACCAGTTCTACAAGTCATCAAGAATGAAAGGGTCCAAAAGAAAAGTCACAGACTTTTCAAATTTGTTTTCTGAACTTTTTAACTAAATTTGAAAATATATTCATTTATTCTACCCAGCCCCAGTTTTACCTTTGCAAAGGGAGATGGCAAATTCAAGAGATCAACGTGTAGAAAGCAGTAAAGAGAAAAGTGACCTATGCAAGATGATTTAAAAAAAAAAAAGAAAAGAAAAGAAAAAACAGCCCATCAGAGCTTTTCCCAAAAGAAAAGACTACTGTTCAGAAAGGCAGTCCCAGAGGACTCTCTGAAAAAGGGTGCTGTGACTCAGTATGCCTAGACACAGGAAAGGCTGACTCCACCTTTTCTGGGTACTGACAGTACACAGATGTGAAAAGTGTGAAGTAAAAATGACACTTATTTAACCTTTTAAACTCAGCACCCTTTAAACAGGTCAGATCAGTACTTCTCAAACCACCCATGATAGGGATTAAAGTTTTAAATTTCCAGTTCTATCATGGTCTGAATCTCTAATAAAATACAATAAAACTTTTAGAGGAATTAACATTTCAAAATGAAGACATAAAGGATACATACCCACCATTTCAATTTATTAGCTTAACAGGCATTGAATTTCTCCCTTATACAGGTATAAAATGTTTAATACTTTACTCTTAATATCTTTGCTCATTTTGTCACAGACCAGTAATCAGTTTTGAGTGGATTGGTTTCTGGTCCCTGACCCACACTCTGAGTAGCACTGCATTGGATCACAAAATTCTCATGTTCTGTAACATCCATCAATACTTGTAAGATAACTTTTGGGAAATGCTGACATAGAGCAAAAAGAGAGAACATAACAGGATTAGAGTCAAATTCCCAACAAATATCCATCCAATCCACCTACACAATAATGGAAAGTTCTAGCTGGTATTCAGTTAACTTCATAGCTGTGTTAAAGTAAAACATTTCTTTCTGGCTTTTTTTAAGGTGAGACAGATTGAATTAGGAGCTGCCAAGAATTACTAAGCATAATGGACAAACCTCTATGAAAAATGAAAAAGTTGAGGCACTCAAATTTTGGCAGTTGTAATTGTGTGCCTGTTCAGGCAGCTTGGAGAACTAACTGTACCAGACACTGGTGTTGTCTCTTACTGTCATCTCTAACCTGGGACATGACAGGAAATAAAATACTTGCAGTCATCAGACAAGCAAGTGTGCTTCAATGGGTGGCAAGTGGAGACCCAGAGCAAGAAGCAACACTCAGGGCCATGCCAAGGGAAGCTGCCTCAGAATCCCTGGCCCAGGTCAGGTCAAATGTTAATAGTAGGCTATCATACTCTGTGCTTCCTTTTCTTTACCCCCATCCATGCCTCAGCTCCTGTGGGCCTCTGCCATGCATAGTCTTCCCCTGATGCCCACAGTGCTGCTCACTTCACTCCTTCCAGTATTTGGTCAGATCTCACTTTCTCCATGAGGTTCACTGTTCTTGCTCACAGGTCAGTATGCCCACCCACCTTACTCCTTTATATTTGTCCAAGATACTCAACACCTTTAAAAGACTAGATCCTTATCTATTTGTTGGTTTATTGTCTATCTCCTTGCACCTGGAAGAGAAGAACAAAGAACAAGGATTTGCATCTTTTGTTCTTTGAAAAAAAAATATTTGTAGATGGACAAATTATCTTTATTTTATTTTTAAGTGGTGCTGACAATGGAACCTAGTTCCTCACAAGTACTAAGCAGGAATAGAGATCTACCACTGAGCCACAACCCCAGCCCTGGTCTTTCATTCTTTGATGTTCTCCAAACACCTAGAATGTGCCTGATGCATGGCAGACACTTAGTAAGTTCTATAAACTTAAACAAATCCTGTGTAAGAGAGTATGGTAATTACTTAGTTTTAATTTGCAGTATTTTTTTTTTCTTTTTAGCAATAATCTGATTAGAGACATCAATAAACAACATGATTGACTTAGACTGAACTTATGTTCATTTCATCCCTTGAAAGTATTCTCTACTCTCATAAATCACTCTACTGCCTCAACAAAACTGGTTAGCTTAGCAAAGCCAGTTTTCATAGTAATCCTTAAACTGTACACAGCTGTCCCTCAGAATACATAGGGAGTTGATTCCAGAACTCTTCATGGATACCTAAGCCCATGAATGCTCCAGTTCCTTCTTTAAAAAGGCAGTATTTGCATATAAACTGATAACACTCAGCTGGATATATTAAATTACCTCTAAATTATTGTATTAATCTGATGGAAAGTAGTTAATAGGTTAATAGTTATTACACTGTATTGTTTAGAAATAATGACAAAAAAGGAGTCTACATGTGTTCAGTGAATATGAATCACTTTTCTTTCATATTTTGGATCTGCAGTTGATTGAGTCCATAGATGTGAAAACCAAAGATAACAGAGGACCAACTTATCATCCATGGCATTAAACTAAACTTAATGTTTTAGGAGTGAGGAAGACATTCCTTATCCTTGCATTGGTAACTACATTTTGTATCTTCTTAGAGACCAAATTTATAGCATTAGTGCCACAGTGGCACTGGATGACAGCCATATGCTGTTAGGAATCACATTCCTCCATGGGAATAATTACCAGTTTCTCTAAATGCTATAGAAAAATTTTGCAAACACAAATGAGGACTTTTTGAAAAGTCTTCATGAATCACCAAGTTAGAAATAATGTCTTCATTCTTTTCTTTCTTGCAATCATTAGAAATGAATAGTACTTACACATAAAACAGAGTTTTAAAACTTAGCTATAGAAATCTCTAATCCTAAATCTAAATATTAAAAAAAATAATTAATTTGTGCCAGTCCCAATGAAATCCCTGCATGGAACTCCACCTCCACTTCTGCTTCAGAGAAGAATGAATGAAACAGGAACCTACCCTATCATGTGGCATTCTTGAATTCTTAACGAACTTTTGCAATCATGCCCTCTGTTCCCAGACCAGGAAGAGGGGGGAAAATCACTGCCCATCCCCTAGGCAGGACTGTACATCTTCCCCAGTGCAGGGACCTTAGAATATTACCTCCCTCCTCAGCATTCTGCAAGCTCTTACCCCTTACAGAATAAAAGCACACAGCACCAAACTCTCTGTGACATGACTTCTGCCTGAATGGCTAGATTTCCTACTACTTTGTACAGATAGCACTGTCCTCTCTG